CACACTGAACAGATGTTCCTGTTTCTCTTCAAGGCACCTGACACACCCTTAGTTTTGGGATTCCCCTGGCTCCAGCGACACAATCCACAGATTGATTGGGCCAAGGGATGTATCGTAGGGTGGAGCACCCATTGCCATGAGCAGTGTTTACGCTCTGCAGGGCCGGGTTGCATGTCAGACGATCCTGCGGGGCCGCCCACTTGCCTCGACTTGTCAACCGTGCCAGCTGAATCATGATCTAGGTCGAGTCTTTAGCAAAGACGGGGCCCAATCGCTGCCCCCCCATCATTCGTACAACTGCGGGATTGATTTGCTCCCAGCCGCCCCCTTGCCCAATAGCCGACTCTACAGTATCTCGAAACCTGAGCGCGAGTCTATGGAGCGCTACATTACCGACTCCCTGGCAGCAGGCATCATCCGTCCCTCCACCTCTCCCTTGGGTGCAGGCTTCTTTTTTGTTGAAAAGAAAGATGCGTCCCTACGCCCCTGCATTGACTATCGGGGACTGAACAAGATCACTATCAAAAACAAATATCCTCTACCTCTGCTCGCCTCAGCTTTTGAACTCCTTCAAGGAGCCACCCATTTCCCCAAACTTGATCTCCGCAATGCTTATCACCTGGTCCGCATCCGCGAGGGGGACGAGTGGAAGACGGCCTTCAACACCCATCTGGGCCACTTTGAGTACCTGATAATGCCGTTCGGACTCACTAACGCCCCTGCCATTTTCCAAGCCCTGGTAAATGACGTCCTACGAGATTTTTTGAACCACTTCGTGTTCGTTTACCTTGACGACATTCTGATTTTCTCCAGGTCCAGAGCTGAGCATGTTAAGCATGTGAGACTGGTGTTGCACCACCTGCTGGAGAATCGGCTGTTGTAAAGTGGAAAACTGTGAGTTTCATGCCTCAACTGTCTCTTTTCTGGGTTTCATCATTGAACAGGGCCGGTTGTGAGCGGACCCGGCTAAGGTCAAAGCTGTGTTGGAGTGGCCTGTGCCCGGCACCCGGAAGAAGTTGCAAAGTTTTCT